GAGTATATCACCCACACAAATAGGCTCAGAGTACCAACTTATTTAATTTTGGGTTTCTGGAAGGCTCTCTTTTCCTCAAGCTTGAAGTGGGTTGCTTTGAGACAAAAAGCGAAGTATTGCTTTTTCACAGTGGGCAGTAAATGAACTCTGCCACCCTAAGAGATTGAATGGACTGAATTTATAAAGAGGTTAACAGAAGGGCCTATGACGGTCATTTTGGGTTATTGAGGAAAGCTGGGAGGTTGGGAGATGCTTAAACCTGGGCTGCTGGACAGGGGAAGGGCACAGCCCACCTAGCTGTGTCTGGTGGTGTGGGCATGTCAGTGCTGGTCTCTGGGCTGCTGGCTTGTTAAAGGGTTCATTCGTTGTTTATGAAATGAACCTGTAAGTTGATTTATTGCAGTTGAAACTGAACTCTCATTCAAACTGAGTCCCATTAGTTGGTGGGAAATCAATTTAGTGGACCATGGCCATCATTAAAAATAAATAAAGAAAGAAATAAATAGAACAGAAGATATCAAAGTGCATTGTCCTTGGTAAGGGTTATTATTCTTGACACTTGCTTCAGGTACACGCATGTGCGAGTGTATTAAGAAATGTTAGAAAATATTTCTATGTGTCACAGAAAAGTTTGAAACATATGGGTCTTCTGTAACCTCCTGTTTGCCCTCTTGCCTTCCTCAACCTGAGGATGCAGTTAGCGCACCAGAAATATACAGTAAAGAACAGAGTGGGATTCTTTCTTCAGGCAGGATACTGCCCAAGAAGATAGTTCACTCTTCACTCATTGGAAATATGTGCTATTGAAGAACAGTATTTCAATGGGGTAGGAAGTAGGCTGGCCTACTAGGAAGAACAGAAAGGAGGATGGAGTGAAGTTGTCTTTGTAGGTTTGATTTCTTGGAGTTGTTTTGGGTAGGATCAAGCCATTTATATGAAAAAGCATATGCTCTGGTTGTTTTTTCCTTGGATGGAATTGTCCATTTTACCCTTAGAGCTTCTTGGGTGTATATTTCCAATGAAACATTTTGCATATTGACTTGATTTTATGGTCATAAAGCTGCCGTGATTCATTGCTGAATACTGCTTGTGAGGTATATCTGGAAAGTGAACTGGAAGCCACAGTTACCTGGTTTTTGAACCTCTGAGGATCACTCAAGGCATTTATGTGATGATGATGATGATGATGATGATGAATGCAGTTATGAATCTGAACACATAGTGCTTTTTCTCCCAGTGCCTAGTTAGGGTTACCACATGTTAACAGGCAGAAAGAAGAAACATTTCAGAAAGCCTGAAATGGAAATAGAATTAAGTGCATTGTGGAATTCATGAAGGAACAGTAGCAAAATGTTTTATTATTGCTCTTGGATATGAAAGGTAAAAATATGTCCTGGAGTTCATTTTTCAGGGGATACCCTCATGGACAATGAACATGATTATTTAGGCTCTCCTCAGCAGCTGGAATCTTAAATGATGCAAGAGTTCTTAAAACCTGTCTTGCCCCACTCCCGTTTGGGGGTTTATGACACCTGGACCCACATTAGATGGATTTTCCTGTTGTTTAGTTTTTATGGCTATGTGGAAGCTTAGAGGGTCTCAAAAATCAGATTATGATTTAGCTTTTCTTTTTAAGGCTGATGATTTGTTCTGGATTGTAGTTCACCCTGGTGCGGTTTTACATGTGTGTTAACAATAACAACCAGCATGTAAGAGGGAACTATGATTCATATCCCAGAAATATTGCTCTGGGTCAGGCAATGTGTTCTCTTAGTAAGAAAGGTACTAGGTTCCTTATTCACTAGTGAAACAACTCAGAGTGGGAAAGTCTCTGTGTTAAAAACCTAAAAAAAAAAAAAAAAATCTGTGCCCCCTAGAAAAGAGATGGAGCACTTCTCGTTTCTGCTCTAAGGTGAAAAACACTTTTCAGACTGAGTGATCTTAAGGAGACAACTGTAGTGCTGCCCTGAAAAGTAGGGAGTGACGCTATTCTCTGTGCTGGAGATTTGGGAAACAAACTGCTTATCCTGCAGAAATGGTCCTTACTGGTTAATTCAGAAAGAGATTCCCCACTTACATGAGTGAAGCTAAAGCACATGCACTTGCATGCCTCTTTGCTCTTCCCAATTACCCTTGCTTGGTAGAAAATCATCGAGGCTTGGAGAAGCTGATTTCAAGGTCACAGACTTATCAGTAGAGGGGAGGATGGGGTGGAAGGGATATGGTTTGTATCAGCAGCATTTCCTGTTTGAGTCCAGGGACTCCTCTCGGCTTTTCCTTTCCTCCACTGTCCACCCAACAGCTCCATAAACCTGGCTCCTTGCCACTGACCCACTAGAGTGGTAGTAGGGACATATGTATATGATTGAGTAGAGCTGAACTTTGCTTTGTGCATTTTCTGAGTTTGACCATACCAATTATTACAAACATTTCTGGACTATAGATGTTTGCACATCTGTGAAGTGGGGGTAAAGAGGGAGGAAAGCCAGAATAGACAAAATCTACACATTGAAAAAGCAGCAAATTTCCAGATTTACTTAAGAAACATAGCTTTGAATACTTTTGTGACAAAGTGGGGAGAGGTGAATAAATAAGCAAATACAGGACAAGAGCTCTGGAAACATTTTTCTTTTGTAAGTCAAATGGAGAAATGGGGCCCTCAGTGGCAACCCTGGCAGAAACAGCTCATCATGCTATCGAGGGATACTTTGCTTATTGATAGGGACACTGTGAAGGCTCACCTTGGCATGTGAGTCAGGTTAGCTTCAGTTTTTGCCCCAGGCAGTGCTGGGTGTTATACAGATATTTATTAAAAATACAGCTTTTAATTCCTGAGTTTTTAAAGATTATGTGACAACCTTGATAGAGAAGACAAAGTCCTTGCCCTGTGTAGGGTGTGTGTTTTTCCGTGTACTTTATGAGTGGTTAAAGCAGCATCTTAGCTGTGCGGGTATTGTGCAGGTTGTAATAGAAGCAGCCTTCTAACCTTGGACAAGTCAACAAGTTGCGTAATATTTCAGACTTCATTTCTATTCTGCAAAATGGTACTCACACTGTTGAGCCCCCAGAACCATTCAGAATCCTTAGCTGATTTCAATCCCCTGTAGATTCTTGCTCTTTATTATTTGTCTTTTTGTTTCCATTGGGTGCTGAGGAATGAAATCATCCAAGAAAGTGATCTGTGTGAAAGTACTTTGAGAATTGTAACATGTTATATTTGTGTGAGGTTAAAAAAGATTCTTGAAAGAGGATCATTGGACAACAAAAGAGTAATGAGTTTTTCAGCAGCAAATAAGAGTACTTGTTAGTCCAGAATGATTGAGGTGAAAACTGCAGGGAATGGCAGGGTCCTGGGATTTCCTTTTCTTGATTCTTCCAAGCTTCTGATAGTCTTACTTCCTTCTGCTTTAACGAAGAAGACATTTATATCCTCAGGCTTGTGGAGTTTGTCCTTTTTGTGGCTGCTTGGTGCATTTGATTTCTCTTAGTGTTTCTTTTCCATACTCTTACTTAGTAGCAGAATCTCCTTTGGCACTTCTTTGTGATTGTGGACCTTTTTATTTGTTTAGTCTCTTCTGCAGAGCCCATTCCTTTTGAAAGGTCTTTGAAATTTATGTAACATGCCTTACCTAAAGATGGAAATTGTTCATGTGGAAACAATGTATAATTATATAGAGGTCTGTGATACCAAATACATTTCCATAAACCTTAAAGCTCAAGTAATGGTACTTCCCAGTTTTCTACAAAGTAGCAGAGGGGTAGACACTTTGTGTCTTCTTCAGCTCAGTCTCTGTGTAATAAAATTAGTTAAAAAAGAACTCTCTATTTGTAGGAGGTTTTCCCAAGTCACTGGGAGCCTGGGAGTTGTACATAAGAAAGATCTCCAGTCTCCCAACACGGAGCCTTTTGGAGCTAGAGTATGAATTGCAGTTCCAGATTAATTTTGTTCATTTAACAGATACTCACTGAGCTGCATTTGTGTGCCAGGCACTGTTCTGGGTCCTCAGTGTGCAGCACTGTACAGGGCAGGCAGTCAGGCGCAGCCCCTGCCCTCATTGACCATCCTTCCGATGGGATCTATAAGGTAATGCCAAGTGAAAAACTCACCTATATGTACCTGAAATCTACAATCTTCCCTGGCCTCCACAATTGAAGGGAGATGTTAAAATTAAACCAGGGTAGAAAATGATCATGGCTCTTGGATTATATCAACAAGCAGTTTATTTCCCTTCCCTCCCTTTCTCTCCTCCTTTCTCTCTCCCCTTCCCTCCACTCCCCTTCCCATCTCTCTCTTCCTTTTCCTTCTCCTTTTCTTCCCTCTCTCCTTCCCTTCCTTTCTTCCCCTCTCTTCCTTTTACCAAGCCCCCTCTCCTCCTTTTCCCCCTTCTTGGAGAGGTTGTGATTCATAGTCTAAACCTGGAGGGCAATACTCAGTGCTGGCCAGAAAGTGTCATGAAAAGCCATCTCTGGCACTGGAATGTTCTGATCACCTGGCCTTCTTAGTGAGAATGTTGTAGAGGAGGAAATATCATTGGGGTTACTTTCTATGAAAACATAAAATTCAATGTTGAAAGAAAGTAGTATTTATAGACTACATCTGAAGTGAATTAGGGCCTGTGTCTACCGGATGGATTTATGTTAGGAAATAACATTAGGGCCAAAGTTGCTTTGAAGTAAATTGCTGCCTCCATTATTCTTCTCTGAATCAAACCAGTTATTTAGTGGTGGGATGGGGTGTTTTTCCACAGTGGGCAGGGTAGGCACTGGGCCTGGGAGACGATTCCGGGGACCTGTAAGCATAGCATGGTCTAGTCCTTGCACAACCAGCACCGTGGTTCCTGATAAACAGATAAGAGCTCTACAGTGTGTCTGGAGCCATGAGTGGGGATTTTTGTAGTTGTTGTTGGCTACTTCATTTATTTTACTCAGCAAACGTTTATTGCACTACTATTCCATGAGGACCTGCTGAGGTCTTTTGCTGGGGTGGGAGTGGTAGGGACAGACTTACTTTTTTAATGAATAAGGGATATATGATGCAGTAAGTGAATATATTTGGGGGTTTTTGTGCTTTCTGGTTCATAGGCGGGCTTACTCCTGTCCATTTGATGTCTTCTGTCCTTTGAGTCTGACGATCACCGTTAGGCCCACCCAGAGATCGTGAAAAGTCTTTGAATCAAGCCCTTTCTTGTGAAAACGTAAGTGCTCCCTGGAGATGGGAATGCGTTACTCTTGTGTTTGAGGACAGTACAAGCAATCCTCACCGTCTGAGTCTGTGATTCCTAAATTCCTGCAGGGAGTTCAGTTGCCAGATTATCAAGGTTCCTGTTGGGGTTTTTTCCTTTCTTTCTGAGTTTGAGATAGTGAGTAGCAAGAACTAGAATGTTAGGGATATCAGCTTTATTTCAAAAAAAGTGTCTGCATTTATTCAGTGTTGGAGTTTGGACCATGGAAGTTGGAGCAGTGAGAGTCCCTCTGGCATGGGGTGCCCAGAGGTCCTCAGCGCTCGGGGGGAGCATCTGGGGCTGCACTTTTACACAAGGCTTCACAGGAGAGGCGCCTTTGGAGCTGGGCAGACTTAGCTGGGCAGAGATGGGGGTAGGTTGGGGGGCTGGTGGGCAAGGTGTGGAGAGGAGGCCTGGGTCTGGGTTTGTGCACGGACTGCCCTGAAGAGTTTAGGGGGGTGCCTCGAATGGCAGGGTTTGTTATCCCCAAGTCAGGAGAGTTCTGGGAAGCCCCAGGCACTTCTGCAGTTCTTGGACAAACAGAAGTGTTATTAAAGAAGCAGAGTGGTGTGGAGAGGCAAGGTGTCTCCTTCTCAGGAGAGGAAGTGTGTGTGGTGCTGGGCTAATCTGGAGGGTTCGGTGGAGGAGCTGAGGAGCCTCTTCTCTCTGGGAGGCCGGGCAAAGGCCCGCCAGTATCAGATGGAAAAGCTTGGCTGAGATTGGAGGTAACTGCAGCCTGGACCAGAAGGACCGCTTTTCAGAGCTATGTTTTTTGTTTGTTTTTTTTCATTTTGTTCTTAAAGACAATTTCTAGTTACTGTTCTAGAGAATGGAGCTCTTGCCACCGACACTACAGATTGTCTTCAAAACTTAAACTGGGTTAAAGTGAATAATTTTTACCTGGAGTTCGTCTGCTTTTCAGTTGACTCTACAAGCATTGAGTTGGGTAAGAGTAAAATGTGCATGCGATGTCACTATTCTTGATTGAATAAGGATGATTTAACAGTTGGAAAAATATTAATATTTAAGTTAGTTACCATGTTAGCTCTGTTAAGAGCATGTGTTCAGGAAGCTATTATTTGGGTTCAGGTTGCAGCTTTGTCACTCCTAGCTGTGTGACCTTGGCCCCATCATCTAACGTCTCTGAGCCTCATTTCTTCATGTACGAACGAGGACTAATAATAGTGCCCATTTCATAGTTTTTGTGAGGCTTAAATGAGAGGATAATGTAAAGCATTTACTTTAGTGCCTGATACATTATAACTGCTCAATAAATTTTCATAAAGGAAACAGAAAAAAGACCAGATTACCCTTAGAGCTGCTTCTTACCTTGAGCTCTCTTGTGTGAAGTGAGTTTTGTACGATACAGCAAGGCTGTAGGTTGTGGTAAAAAGAACCTTGGACAGAAGCTGGCTCCACTTCTGGTTCTGTCCAAGAAGCTAGTTCAGAATACAGCTTCTTGGCTAGTTGTGGGGCTTTATGTAAGTCACTTCTCTCTGTGTCTGTTTCCTAATCTGTGCAATGAGATGTAACTAGATGTTGATGACAACAATGATGGTGATGATGAAGACAGCCAATAGGTATTGCATTCCAAGCACTGTGCTCTGTCCTTTGAATGGCTTATCTCATGATCATCTTGTGTGTCTTGCAGGAGGTGGTATGTAGTTCCTTCTCTGGGGGTACCTGGCTATAAAGGTAAAGCTTGCCTCATCTAATAGTCCTCAGTTCTGTGTGTCAGATGTTAGTGGTTCTATGTTTGCTAACTTCTTTTGTAGTCAGTTTTCTAATCTTGATTACATTTAGGCCAATGCTTACTGGGTTGTCATAAGGAAAACTCGGGAGAGTAAGCTTCTGATTTGGGGCTACGTTATAGTTAAAAAGTATTTATGAAGTGTCTAGATATTCCTGAGGAAGTAAGTAGTGGGTTTTCCCCTGACTCTTATGAAATAAAATCTTATCTGAAGTGCTTTGAATTTACACAAGGCAAAGCTCTATGTAAATACTGCAGTGGTAGAGGCCTTTCTCATCAGAGCTCTTGAATGAGGCCTCCTGCAGCCAAACATTTGGAGGTAAGAACAGGCGTGTTTTGCAGCAGGAAATAGTAGTTGGTTGTAAGTTTTTCTTAAACAGGCCCCTATCTGCTGCCCACGTGTTGCAGGAAACTGGGGATTATTATATTTGTTGGTTCTAGGGAGCCACTGGATTGAGGTTCTGCAAGCTGGAGTCATCAGTGTTGGGTTGGTGCTTGTTTTTATATCTCCAACCTGCTCTCCCAGACCGCATTTTTAGTTGCAGTATGGGGTGGGTAGTTTGGGAGACTGACCCAAATAGAAACCTTAATCAGTGACTTGGCAAGGACATTCTTTGGCTCTACTTTGCTAGCCTTGAGCTATCCAGGTGTTCTGGTTTTTCCATTTGGAGGAGAGGTGATGTGGTGACAGACAACCTGGGCAGGTGCTCAGATAATATGCTTTCTTTCGGGGAGTAAAAGTCCTGGTCTCAGGGCCATGAGTGTCAGCAAGGGCAATTACGTGCAGATTTTCTTCTGTGAAGGACTTGGAAGGTGGTCACTAGCTGGGTGTGTACCGGAGGACCAGTGCTTCCCCCCACCTGTGGAAGTGATGTGATGAGGAGGGCATTCTCTGTGCTTTTGTATTCCTTATAGTGAGACCTGTGGTGGGGCATTTCCAGCTCTCTGACCCCAGTGAGACTATCAATTAGCAGCCCTGGCCGGTGTGGCTCAGTTAATTGCAGGTTCAATTCCTGGTCAGGGCACATACGTGGGTTGCGGGTTTGGTCCCCAGTCCAGGTGCATACAAGATGCTACCAATTAATGTTTCTCTCTCACGCTGATGTTCTCTCCTTCTTTTTCTCCCTCCCTTACCCTCTCTGTAAAATCCATAAGCATGTCCTCGGGCGAGGATTTAAAAAAAGAAAGGAATATGAATCAGCAAAATTGTAGCTGGTGTGCCAGCTAATCATTTTCATATCTTTTAACCACTAAGATTTATATTTAGTGACTAATGATCTTGTTTTGGAAGTGCCGTCTCCCACACAAGTCCCCAACAGTGTTTTATTAAAACAACAACAACAACAAAAACTGGCTCTGTAAGGACACTGACTTAGAAATAAATCCTTTCCCTTTTCTTTTTCTGCAGGATTTTCCCTCTTGGTATCCAATGGCTTTCTTTACTGGGCTCTGGGGTCCTTTCACCCATGAAAGCAGAGCACTCAGCCAGCGCTGTTTCAGGTAACTTTTCCCATTAAGTTCTTAAAGCTGCATCTTTTGAGTAAGTCTCCAGTCAGGGCTGGCTAGTATGGTGACTGGAACAGAAGTGGAAACTCTGGGAGGTGGGCTTGGGGTCAGGGAAGCTGGAAGAATCAGACTGAGCAGCTGGGGCTTGGTCAGGTGAGGTGAGGGGCATAGATAAGGAGGTGCCGATGATGTTAGTAGTGGGATAGGGAACTGCATATGGTAAAAGATGAAACTCTTCAGTCCTTGCCAGACTTTCAGTGAATCTGATATCTGTCGACCTTGTCAGTCCCCTGTGCATTAAAACCTCTTTTAAAAATGAAATCGTTTTCTAAAAGTTACATGCTTATTATAAAAAACTCAAGCATGATAGAAATGTGACAACCTCCCTTCCTTTTAGCTGTTAAACCAGGGGGAGAACACAGGTTGCATTCCTGTTGGCAAACACGCTTTTTGGCCGCATTCATGCACTTGTTTCGCAAGTGTTCACTGAGCACTGTTCCTGGGTTGCTCATAGAGAGATGAATAAGAATTGCTTCCTGCCCTGAAAGAGTTCTCACAGTTGGCCATGGAGCAAACTTGGAAACAAATAACTCTAAGAAAATGTGACAAGTGTAATAATAAAGGTTTGTGTGTTGCAGTGGAAGGCCTGAGGCCAGAGCTGCTAATGGAGCAGGAGGAGGAAAAGAGAGTGGAGGTGGCCTTCCCAGAAGGGTGGGGAGCAGGCCTGTCCAGGCCGCCAGGGAGGGCTGAGAGGCATGGCATGCGGGGAGCTCCAGGGCTTCCCGGCCACTGGGGCACAGAGTGGGTGTGTGAGTGGTAGGAGATGACAGGCCTCACAAGGCAGGTACATGGGGGCCAGGTTGTTGACAGTGTAGACAGTGGGGAACCCCTGAACACTTCCAAGCCAGGGAGTGGTCTCAGCTTTGTATTCTAAAAAGAGCTTTTGGTTAGCAGAGGGAAAAGCTCTTGTAACCAGTTAGGACATTAATGTAATAATCTTGGTGTAAGAGAGTGAGTTGCCGAATTCAGGAAGTGTTGATGGGGTGCAGGGAGAGGACAGACATCTTTAGGAGGTAGTATCAGTAGGACTTGACAGCAGTGGATTTTGATGGAGAGAGAAGTGTATGGCTTGGGTGCTGGAGTTTCTGGAGAAGCCAGGGTCTCAATAGGAAATGTAGTTGCCGGAAGAGGATTGCAAGGGGAGGCAACAAAGTGACTGTGGGACCTCCTGAGTTTGCAGGATCTGTAGGATATGTGAGTTTAGAGTGGAAATACAGGACTGGAATACAGGAGACAAGTGGGGCTGCAGGTGGAATTTACTAGTTGGAAGCCATACAAGTAGAAAAAATTGCCTGGAGTAGGCATGTGGAATGAAAGAAGAGGGCCTGGGATAACCCTGGAGAACGTCAGTACTTAAGGAACTACCATAGCAAACCTACTCATTCATGTCTTCTGGTTCCCAGCACCATACAGATGAGAAAATTTGGGAATCAGTATATCTGGGAGAGCAGGTTTTGCAGGCTAGGCAGTGGGTGAGGCCTAGCTCATAAGGTATTTCCTTAATCCTGAGTCCTTTTGGAAGTCAGAGCCTTAGAGTTCAGGCTGCCATGAAGTTTGTCATAACAGAAAATTGGGTTCTCTTTAAAACCTTTCCAAGTCAGGATCTTAGTTGTGCAGAAATTGTCTTGGGTACAGAGAAGGCCTTATAAACACCTGACTTTCTGTCAGAGCCCTGGGTTGTTCTCCCTTTGGCGCATTGTTATTAACATGTGCTCTCTCCCAAGTTTTGCCGGCTCAGAGACTTCTGCACCCTGACCAGGAGAGGTGCAGACCTCAGACTTTTTTCTTTCCCATCAGCACCACCAGGACCCTCAGTGCAATTCAGAAGATGACGCGCGTGCGTGTGGTGGACAACAGTGCCCTGGGGAACACCCCGTACCATCGCCCTCCCCGTTGCATCCATGTCTATAACAAGAGTGGGGTGGGCAAGGTGGGCGACCAGATACTGCTGGCCATCAAGGGACAGAAGAAAAAGGCGCTCATCGTGGGGCATTGCATGCCCGGTCCTCGGATGACCCCCAGGTTCGACTCCAATAATGTGGTCCTCATTGAAGACAATGGGAACCCTGTGGGGACCCGAATTAAGACACCCATCCCCACCAGCCTACGCCGGAGAGAAGGCGAGTTTTCCAAGGTTTTGGCCATTGCTCAGAACTTTGTGTGAGCAGAGCCCGGGCTGCTGGCGGCAGTGGGGCTCATGAATGGAGCAGTTCCAAAAACTGCGCCTTTGTTGACAGGGACCTTGGGGCCCCGTGGCTTGGGGAGAGCATCCTGTGAGAAATAAACATTTTCACATATGTTTTCTTCCTAAGCTTTCTGGAATGTGGTTGTGAGGTAAATGACACTGAAGCAGTTAAAAGGTGGCTAACCCACGTCTGGCCACAGTTAGCACAAAGCAGCCGTTGAGCTTCGTCAGGAGTCTCAGTCTCGGGAAAATGAGGTACCAAAAGCCCATCTATGAGTGTATGGTGGAATCTGTCCCTTCTCAGCGGGCAAATCCCCCTTTTTTCCCAAAGTATCCTCTCCCTGTGTCAGACGGCTTGAAATACAAAATGGTCATGAAGATTACTGGGTTAGCATGAATAAGAGCAGAGTGACTTGTTTAGTCTAGTGGGATGTTGCCTCTAGGCTCTGTCAGAACCCAGACAATAATCCTTTCTCTACAGCGGAGTACCCTCTGCTAGGGACCAAAGCACTCCTCTGCACCCATAGCAGAAAACTTCCTCCCTTAGCTGCTGGGGAAGTGGGCTAGCCCTTGTATTTTGCAAATGACTTAATCTTGGGCCTGTGCAGGTGATTCAATGACAATTTATCTTCCATTTATTTGGTGATCTCTTTTGGGAGGTTTGGGGTCCCCCTTGGTTCCTTTGATGGAACCTCATCAACTCATTTGTGAATTCATTCATTTATTTATTCAGTGTATTTTGGGCACTTACTCATTAAATATTCCAGTGGTCTCTGAGAGGCAGAGTAACGATGATTAAGAATACATGCTGTGTAGCCGGGCTGCCTGGGTTTTTATCCTGACTTCACCACTTACCACTTAGTGACATTGGGCAAATTATCTAACTTCACCGTTCCCTCAGTTTCCTCGCCTGTGAAATGGGGATATAATAATGGTAGATACTTGATAGGGCTGATTTGAGAATTGAGTTAGTACTTGTAAGTGCCTGGCAATAATAAGTACTTGACAGGTATTACCTATTTTCTGTTATCATTACTGAGGATGTGCCAGCACTGGGAAACAAGTCAGTAGAAGCAGATACAGTCCTTGTTCTCGAGCTTACAGTGTCCTAGGGAAATGGGCACAAATCACTTAGTTACTTGAACGAATGCAGATCCCTAAGTGTAACAAGTGCCTATGAAGGCGGGATTAAACTTTTTCATTGGGATTGGAGGCAGTTTCCTGAGAAAGTGTTACATCAGCTGCATCCTGAAGAACAAACAGGCATTGTGATAGAAGTCAGTACAGTGGCTGCTGGGGGGTGGGCAGGAGTGTAGACTGAACAAGGGGCGAGAGGGAACCTTATGGGTGCTGAGTTGTTCTAAATCCAGACCTGGGCAGGAGTTAGGTGAGTGTATATATCTGCAACTAATTATGAAGCGATATACGTTAATACACTTTATGTACTTTATACCTTAGTAAAAATAAATGGGTAGACATTAGCTGAGAGATGAGGGGACGTATTCCAGGCAGAGGGAAGAGCATGTGCAAAAACTGTCTGGTAGGAGGGAATGGGGTATCTCCCAGGGACCGAAGAAAACGCCCCTGTGGCTGGAGCAGGGATAGCCAGAGGGAGCACAGTGTAGGGTGAGGCTGGAGGACTTCATAAGCCCCCGGGTAGGAGGTTTCCTTATCTGGAGGGCATTGGGATACTGTTGTATTAAACAGCAGATTTAGCAAGCAGGGCAGGGGTGCTGGGGGGCGGGGTGCTGAAGACATGGCTGGATTTGTTCTGTGGAGAGGGGCTGAGGGAAGTCGGAATGGGTGGGCAGAGGTGTTGCTGGAGACTGTGCAAGTTATGTTGGACTAGGATGGTAGTAATGGAGGGGAGTAGAAGCCTTCAGGGGGTAGAGTTGACTGGGCTTGGTAACGTGTTACTGTGGCAGGGGAGGGCCAAGAATGGGCCCCAGGTTTCTGGCTTCCATGCCTGTACGGTTGGTCCTGCTGAACCCTGAGCTGGGGTGCCCTAGGAGAGGCCTGAGGGTGCGGGAGGAAGTACAGGTGGGGGCATCTGAATGGAGGTGCCTTTGAGAAATCCAACAGATGTCAAGTAGGTAGCTGGATATAAATAATCTCTCAGAATAGCAGTATCTATTTTGAAAGCATTTATGTGTATGTGCATATTCTTGGTGTTCTTCGTTCCTTAGGTTTGGCAGGCACTGGTCCCGTTTTTTAAATGAGGACACTGAGTTTCAGAGGTCACGTGATTTCCCAGGGTCTTACAACTAATAGGTGGTAAGGCTGGTCTCAAAGCCAGATCCTGCGACTTCCACCTCAGGTCTTTCCACAACATTATGGGGTCTTTTGCCATTGATGAATCCTCTTGAGTTGATTCTCACTAGCTGTGATCCTGGAGGAGAATGATCCACATTGGAGCCTCTTGCCTATTAAGCTTTGACTGCAAGGACGTGAGCAAAGGCTTTTAGTTTCCATATTCCTGGTTGAGGAGTGCACTGCTCCCCAGGTCTCCTCTGACTAAGCTCGGTTCAGTGCACCTCTGGGTATTTGAGGAGCTAATAGCCCTCTCCATCTGGCCTCTGGAAGGACCAGTGGAATCTGTGGCGTGGTCTGCTGCAGTGGTGACTGTGGCCAGAGAGGAGGAATCACAGCCAGACCGGGCCTGCTTTGCCAGTGGTGAGTGTCTCTTCAGCTGCAGCAGTTGGTACTTAGCAAGCTTTTAATTTCCCTGTTTTCTGGGCTGTTTCCCAAAGGCTATAGGAGGAAGACACCCCTGTTTTGAGGTAAAGGAAAGGTGGAGTTGGTATCCTTGGCCCAGCATTACCTGCTCAGGGGCTGGGCCTCTGCTCTGACTAGGGCAGCTTGATCTGAGTTGCTGTCTAGCTTTGCAGATCACTTGCTTTCTGGGGTCAGGCTCGCTCCTTCCTCTACCCTTAGTCAGCAGAAAGTGTGTTCATCCTTTCACGAGTCTGCAGGGAACTGGCTGCTCAGTTGCATCCCCTCATCCTCCTCTCAGGTGCTAAGGTTTACCCAAGTCATTCAAATGACTGTCCTTGCTGCCCTCTCTTCTGGTCTTCCATGGGCTGAGCCACTCCTTCCAAGGTGTTCTTGCTGACCGCTGGAAGGCTATGGTTTCCACAAAGCTGCTGGCCAGAGCCCACACTGCGTGGGTGACGCAGGCCCTCGCAGCACGCAGCCCAGAATAGCCTCAGCTTTACTGCTTTTCCAGCCGCCCTATCACTTTGCAAACTGGGATCTAATTTGCCGTCCACCTTCCACACCCCAGTCTCTCAGCCAGTACTGCTTTCTTTGCTCATGAAATATTTATAATCGCAGATTATGTTTCCCTCTGAGTATAAACTTGCTTTTGTTTTTTTCCCTTCCGTGCCCTTAAGAAGCGGCCCCTGACAGGTCAAAGGCCTCATTTCTCTGGGTTCACAGACTTTATCGCAGTGCCCACCGAAGTGTCTGCCGAAGTGCCCGGCTCCACCCACGGTTTGATTCCCTCTGCTACACCACTGCCAAAGAAATGTGGTAGAAGGGGCTGTAGATTGGTGGTTGTGGTTGGGACACCTGGCCTCCAGTTGGGACTGTGCTGCTAAGTAGATGTGTCACTTTGGGCAAGCCACAGCTTCAAGGGGTTGTTTGGAGGCTTGGTACGCAGGGGACCCGATAACGGGTTGCCCCTGGAGTAGGTCAGGCACGGGTCTGACTGCAGCCCTTGCCCCAGCCACCTTGAAGAGCGTGCCCTTGGCTGCAGATGGGGACTGGGCCAAAGAATGTGCAGAGATCATCCTGTCACCATCAACACTCCTGGACAAACCGAGAAGCCAACCACCTCTGGCAAGGGTGGCCAGGCCACTTCCTGGATGACAGGCATTTCCCTCTTGAAACTCTCAAGCTCGGCCTTGCTTTAGTGAGGGCAGCTGAGGTCAGTGAGAGAGCTCCCATTAGGCAGAGTTGATCTGAGTTATGCCTCTTCCTGTGTCTGAGTGATGAGGGGAGCCTGAGTGATGAGAGGACTCAGCAGGGGGGTGAGTCCTCAGGCCTGGCTGGGGCCCGTGGGGTTCCTCTGGCCTCACCTGGGCACAGCCTCCTTGGCTTCCCTGCCTCATCCTTTCATTGCCTTCCTTGGTTTCTCATGTTCTTTCGTGTTCTTTGAGAATTCTTGTGTTTTATGAAAATTGCATAATGCTGGAATATTTAACTGAAATTCAAATCTGCCCCAGCAGCTGCATTTCTTTCCCTCTCCTAATTTGGTAATTGAATCTTTAACAAAAAGTTTGGGGGTTTTGTTTTATTATTTCCTACGTGGAGGATGGCCATAGGTTACAGTTTAGTTCCCCTCAGCATTTTAGACAATTGCCGAATTGTTTTGCTAAATATTAGTAATTTTCCAAATAATTTGGGCTTCCGAGGCTCAAAGTGGTCATAAGTTTTCTTTTCAACTTTCAACGTCAAGCCAGTTTCTTTATGTAGAAGCCAGTGGTTTCCAGCTAGATTCAGGAACGGTGATAATCTGTTGTTATTTGCTTGATACGATGACAGGCTACATCGTAAGACATACCAGGTGGCAAGTATTTTATTTAAAAAATGAAAGTGAATTTAAACTTAATTTATTTTGAGAATTCCGGAGGACCTCTTGAATAATTGGGATGCCCTTGGATATTATGAAAGCTTGATTGGCAGTTGATTTTAGGCCAAATGCTTACGTGCCAAATAGAGTCAACTCTTAGTCAATTGGGACTGATCAGAGCCATCTGTCCTACCCTCCACTGTTTTGCATCACCTCCTGAGGGCAGGGAGGGGACATAAAGAGAGACCTTGAGAGAAGGCTGTCCCACGCGCTGGCCTTTTCACAGTATGCTGTGTCCAGGCTGGGAGTGGGCTGTGCCGCCCCGTCCCTGCGGGCTAACCCAGTGCCCTTGCTGGCTGGCACCCGCGGGCCGGGGAGTGCAGCTTTCATTTGTCCACTTACCTCATTGGCACTGTCCGTAGCCAACTGAGTTAACTCACTATTTTGCTGCCAGCTCTGGTTAAAGTTTTGCTGGTGAAGAAGAATGGAACCCTTGCTTGAAAGGAGGTTTTAGAGTGTCTGTGAATTTTGTTTCTTCA